CAGTCCCGCCTAGATAAGTCTAGATATTAGAAAGAGCTTGGTATCGTGATTCTCATCATGCGTTCTTTGTGCTTGATTTCTATACGTCCTCGACTCATCCGCCTTTTCCAGCGGTTCTATCGTCTGACTCTACGTCGCAGTGTGCCAAGTAATCGTACTCACCTCCTCCTTGCTTGAAAAGTCTACAGGATTATGCGTGGTGCCAAAAATCATTTTTGCATAAACTCCCTGCGCCCTCCTAAGGGCGTTGACTTTCAGCTAGTCTCCGACAATCCAATACTAGCTAACGATTCATTAATGAGGCGGGAAAACCCACTGCGTCAGGAATCCCCGCAGCTCAGACTCGTTGCTGTGCAAGTGCTCTCGGATAGTAGGGACCTGTTGGGAAACAGCTGAACGCATTCCTTGAAGACACCTTTATCAGCGAAGCAAGAACTGCAGGCGCTATCGCCAAAGTGCCAGTAAGCGCCGTGAGCGATCATCCCTAGGACGGCCGGAATGGTATGGGGATACAACCCATCGGTGGCCCACGATGTACTGGACAGCAGCAACAGCCTAGCTACCCGCTTGATCTATGTTATACTTGTCTGACTAGGCATGGCCATGTTCACGCGGTCTGTTCAACATCGTCTGGGCTGTGCCGATGATGTGTTGCCAAAAACAGCAGGCATGTCGAAAGCTGTCCGCTGTGCATGCAATAAGGCGTGGCACTATATTCTACATATAGTAGGCCGGCCCTGGTTTCCAGTTCATGGATAGCAAGTGCCGTGAGGGCTTCGTTTCGGGATCAAGAAAGCGGACACTCCCACAGATCCACCAGCAGATGATTAGTCTGCCTTTCCGGTCATCCACAGTTTCTAGATACAGATTTACAGCATCAATACAGCCGAGAAGTGTGAGTCGCGCAGAATCACCCATACGACAGTGCTTAAGTTGTTCTCTAGGATGTCGATAAGAGAGCACCCCGACGAGGCCATTACTCGAGCCAGCGTAGAGCTTTCCAAAGCAAGCCTATGGGGTCTTGGTGAACTTTCCTAATGAATCTGCTTTCGTTCGGCGCTTAATGTGACCTACTCTGGAGGCCGGCATAGTAATGATGGGGCCTGTGTCTACGTGAACATGCTACGAAAGACATTTTCATCCCTGGCTTCCTCCATGCCAGTTCCAATGGCTTCTGTGCCTGACGCGTTTCATGACTGTCAGCGCTGTGCCTTACTAGCCACAGCAGCAGCCACACTTATCACCTCCTAGTTAAACACGTTGGATGTGAAAGATACTGCCTCAGGCCGATAGGAATAATGACCTCCACCAGCTCACCAGCCCACCCAGCTGAGACTTGTCGCCCTAGCGCGCACCTGCGGCTCAGCGCGACCACAAGGCTGAGCAAGAACGTACTTCGAGTGATACCCCCAGCGCCTTAGAGTATATACCCTCACCCTCTTGTCACCTCATCCATTCCCCGCCATGCGATCGTTTCTAGCTACTCTGCGAACAAAGAAGCCCGAGAAGGTCGGTTTGACGTTCGTCTCCATCTCCACGCTAACCCCATAGTGCAGTCGACGGGTCCGGCTCTATCAGCCGATCCGTCCTCGGTGGAGCCCTACGGCCTGCACGTCCTCGCAGAAGGCACGGATCCAATTGCCGAGTATACAACGTCTCCCGTCACGTCGCTTGATCGTTACTAAACCCACCTCAGCATCGTCGCGATCCACGGCATCAACGGCCACCGCGCGCGGGCGTGGACAGCGAAGAATGGCAAGCTCTGGCTTCGAGACCTGCTCCCAAACGATATTCCAAACGCGCGCATTCTTCATGGGGCTACAACGCGAACACACACGGCGCGTCGGGCGTGAGCTGCCAGTCGCTGTACGACTATGCCCTCACGCTCGTGTCCGACCTGTGCCTGGAGCGAGAGCTGACGGAGGTACACAAGGCACCTTCAGAAGACGGGCCTAGCTAAGCGGAAGCAGACCACCCGACGTCCGATCATCTTCATTGCACATAGCTTGGGCGGGATCATCGTCAAGAGCGTAGGATTCTCTGAGAGTAGCTGTACTTCAAGGCTGACCTTTCCAGGCGCTGATTCACTCTGACGCCGCCCGTCACGGCGCGCTCCACGATCACCGATCGATTGCCGTATCGACATATGGCATCCTATTCATGGGCACGCCACATCAAGGCGGAAACGGCGTCACACTGGGGAAGCTGCTCGTGAGCGTCGCCTCAGTGTATGTGCCTGCGGACAACCGGCTTCTGCAACACTTGGAGCGAGACTCAGAGTGGCTCCAGCAGCTTGGGACAATATGGGCCGATCAGCGGCAACTATGTGACAAAGTTCGCGTACGAGGCGGACAAGACGCCGACCAAGCTCGGGCACTCTATGATGGTAAGGGCATATTAGCACATAGCATGTCGACAGCAGCTAAGAGGGATAGATTGTGCCGAAAGCGTCGGCGGCAGTACCAGGCGCTGCGGATGCCGAGCAGATCGCGATTCCTGCAAATCATATTGACATGGTAAGATTTGAGCATTCAGCAAAGCAAGGGTACAAGAAGATATCAGGACACGTACGTCTGATGCTGCTAAAGGGTGGCGAGATGGTTCGTCAACGATGGGAGATGGAAGATCGAGTCGACATAGGTATGTAGACTCGCCTCAAGCCATCATAATACCTCTTTTCACCTTGCCACAGCTCGTGTCAACCAATCTCCTAATGCGCCCTGCTATGAGATTTATTTCGAGCGCAATCAGAACTTCGTTGGGCGCGCGTCACAGCTAGCCATGCTTCAACAGAAGTTATTCTATCAGAAGAGCTGTAGGAGGACGGCGCTAGTCGGACTTGGAGGTGTGGGCAAAACGCAGGTCGCGCTGCAGCTCGCATACTGGGTCAGAGATAATCAACCTAAGTTTTCCGTCTTCTGGATAGCAGCACTAAGCGCGGAAAGCTTTAAGCAGAGTTATATCGCAGTACTTAAGGCGGCAGGGGTAGCTGTAGTAAAGGACGAGGACCCGATGGAGTCTTTTTATCAGTACATCCATTCGTCGCGCGCCGGAAAGTGGCTACTCATTCTCGATAATGCGGATGATGTAGATATGCTGAATAGAGAGCTAAAGAGCTACGGAGGATTGACAGGCTTCTTTCCAGCCCATGAAGACGGTCTGATAGTCTTTACAACGCGCCACCGTGAAGCTGCACGTTCACTTGCAGGTCGAAACACGGTAGACGTCCAGGAGATGGATCACACGGAAGCGCGGCAACTCTTCGATGTCTCACTGCCGGAAGATAGTCCAGCGAGGCACGATAGGCTTGTGATAATGTTACTGGAGGAGCTGTCATTCCATCCGCTAGCTATTACACAAGCAGCGGCGTATCTCGACGTCACACAAACTACGATCGCTGACTATCTAACGTCGCTGCGAGGGACCGAGAAGAGTCTGATCAGTCTGATGAGTCGCGAGTTTGGAGATGACACGCGGTACTCTGACGCGGCAAATGCAGTAGCTACAACGTGGCTAGTATCGTTCGCCCAAATCCAGGATACCAATGATTCAGCGGCACAGCTCCTTGAATTTCTATCGCAAATTGAGCCTCGAGCGATCCCCTTGTCCTTGCTGCCACGTACGCAATCTGACGAGGACACGCTGTTCGCAGTCGGCGTTCTGCAGTCGTATGCTTTTATCGCTCGCCGCGGGTCTAGCACGACGTACGACATGCACCGGCTTGTCCATTTAGCAAGCAAAATATGGATTGAGAAGGAGGGACAGGCTACCGCAGTGAATAAGCAAGCGACGGAGCATATAGCTCAAGTATTTCCATTGGACGACTACACCAACCGCGGCTTGTGGCAAGAGTATCTTCCGCATGCAACACGGCTTGCACGTAATAGCACGACACAGGACCTGGAGGAGCGGTATACGTTATGCTCTAAGATAGGGCTCTGCCTCTACGCTGATGGACGCATGGGCGAGAGCATGTACTGGCTCTTGGTTGTTGATGAATGGCGGAAAGAGCATCTTGGAGAAGAGCACCCTTCACGACGGGCATCGCAGCACGCGCTCGCAGGCGCATATGAAGCAAACGGACAAGTGG